CTCGTCGTTCGCGAACAGCTCGTGTTTGGCTCGTTTGTTAAGAAACGAACACGAACAGTGATTTCACGAACAATTTCAAACACGAGCTTATTTCAAACAAACTAAATTTCAAACGAACCAAACACGAACACAAGCTTTGTTCGTTCGTGTTCGGTTTGTTTACACCCCTATTTGTGGGTGCTAAGTAGTTCTGAGTGTTAAGGTGTCTGGAAGTTATTGCCAAGGCTTTTGTGCTATAATAACTCTCGCCCTGTGAACTATAGGAAGAGAAAAGGAAAAAAAAAAACATCATGTTTCTTAAGATGCGTGTCTAGTATCCGTGTAATGCTAGCGTCTCATTGTTGCATTTCTTGTGCCAATTTAAATATTTTAGACATTTCAACTTGTTTTTCTCTGTGATGCCAGAAAATTGTTGTATTTTATGCGTTAAAAAAAGAACTTCATCAAGATTTTTGCATTTCGACATTGTCTTATTATTCAGGGATTTCTTTCAAAATCAAAATTTTTTTAGTTTTTTCAATGAACAGAAAGTCAAACGATTTCTCTTTTAACTGCTACTTCTGTTGTCTGGCAATTATTATTATTTCTAAAAAATTCAAGGATATTAAATATTTGGTTTAAAATACTAGCTGTTTTGATGAAATCACTGTCAACAGAGCTTGCCCATCAGTCAGTGTTCCATATATTTTTGTTTTATTTTAGTTAATATTTTATTTAATATAAAAGATTGGGTTGGTAGATACTTTGTTTCTGTGAAGAGTAATTTGAATGTCAGGAGACGCAATTAAAAATGTACCAGAATCAAAGCCATCTTCTTTTTTTCTGTATATGCACCATGTTGGACTATCTTTGTCATGGAGAATGCAATCTTTAGTTATTTGAACCGGATTGTGGATAATGTGCTATTAAATGGCAATATTATTACCATAATGAGAGGGAGTATTTCTCGAATGGAATGGACTTGCAAAACATGGACTGGAATTGAGCGAGAGTTTATATGTAAATGATTATCTTTTCCAAAGAATAATCTTTTCTTTATTGAACATTTTTGTGCCAAGTATTTTTATCTCTTAAAATGCCTTGGTATGCAAATCTTTTAAAGGGATGAGTGCAAGTAATGATGAAGAACACTAGGAAAATTTGAAAATTCTACTCTCTAGAAGATTGATGAATATTGCTCCAAAAAAAAGCATTTTACATGTGTTGAGTTCACTTACAGATCTTTGTTTAACTAAGTTATTCCAATTTCAAAATTGACCCTATTTATTCAACTATTGGGGTTGACTTTCTGAATTCTCATTTTGCATTCACTTACGCGGAGTTCTACAAGAAATGTTACACCTGTATTTACATAATTTTTAACTGCTTTCCATTTTTCCTTAAACTTGCTCTTTTCCTTCTTAAACCTTGTACATTGATTTATCTACTTGTCTGTAATGGGTGCAATTTTACCCTTCAATTTATATGTTCAAACCATCTTAGTCTATTTTTAATATCTTATTTCAAATAGATGCTCTTTCTACTAATCCTCTTATATAATGATTCCTTAATTTAATCTTCCAACTTTTTTCATGCATCCATTTTAACATTGTCATTTTTACCAAACTTGATGTAATTATTAATAACTTTTTTATTGCGAGCAGTCAGATTCATTCAACATAACAGACCTAATTGCAATTTCATAAAATTCACCTTTATCTTCATGATATTCTCTTGTTATATCACACTTCAGAGGCATGACTTTATCATCTACTATTATTGATGATTGCTAATATCCCACAAATTAAAATTTTATGTTGTATACTTATTCTTTATTCAATTAATCCTAAGTCTATATGTTCTAAACATTTCTTAATTTTAGTTTCAATAGTCTTTTATTAATTGTTTATCTCCAATTTCTTGACCTCATTTTCTATTATAAAGGCTACATTTGAAGCATTCGTTGGAATACGTGATGATGTTGCGACATCTCAAGTTAAACTATTTGGGGACCATTTGCAGGTATACTTCTTTTTAACATTAGAACATACTTTCTGTTTCTAGCTACTGAAACAATTGATGACACTAGCTTTTGCAACAAAATCTTCCATTGGATGACATCGATAAAACAGGAGATGTAGTTGCTGCTCCGATCCGTGTCCTAAACCTCATCTATAATGCCGGGGTGAGTCTTGAATTTTGTTTTTTATTTTATTTTTTTGATTCTCTGAAGATATGGCGCCTGAACTATTTTTATGAACCATATTTTTTATAAATATGTTGGAGGAAGTACCTTACTTAAGAGTAAAAGCATGTCGGTTTGTTGATACTTCACTATGAGTTATGCATGTGAAACTTTGATAATTTTCACTAGTACAATGGAGAAGATGAAGCATCAGCAACGTCCGTAACTGGAGCAACTATAGAAATGAATGTAAATTTCGAACCAAAATAGACTTCTATAATTGAGACTTCTCAACTTGATACTCTATTAAGACATTAATTCATAGCTTTTTTTTTTCCTGTGATATTATATTCCATATCAACCACTCAGGCTATAACTCTAAAAAGTAAACTTTGGGAGGAAAAATTATTTGATTGCATTATTCACATATAAGATACATCTATGAAAATCAGCCCTCCAAATTTACAAGCTTATCACATATTATTATTACCAGATTGTATGTCAAAGAAATTATCAGATTGCATGGTGTTCCAAAAGTCATTTCTGACAAAAAATGGAAGATCTACGTCAGTTTTGTGGAAAAGCGTTCAGCAAGGTTCGAGCGCACAATTGCATCTCATTCAACACTGCATTTCTTCCACAAACTGATTGACAATTAAAAAGAACAATTTAGATATTGGAAGATTTTTTGCGGCTTTGTGTTATCGACTTTAGAGGCTGTTAGAAAGATCATTTTTCATTGATCGAGTTAGCCTATAATAATGGCTATCAGTCCAATATCAAAATGGCTCTTTTTTTGAAGCATTGTATGACAGGAAATGCAGAACTCCATTAAGTTGGGTTGAAGTGGTTGAACGTCAAATGTCAGGTCTCGTGTTCGTTGATGAAGCTATAGAGAAAATCAGATTAATCAGAGATAAATTGAATGCTGCTCCAAATTGACAATAAAAACATTATATCCTTAGAAAGATCATTTTTCATTGATCGAGTTAGCCTATAATAATGGCTATCAGTCCAATATCAAAATGGCTCTTTTTTTGAAGCATTGTATGACAGGAAATGCAGAACTCCATTAAGTTGGGTTGAAGTGGTTGAACGTCAAATGTCAGGTCTCGTGTTCGTTGATGAAGCTATAGAGAAAATCAGATTAATCAGAGATAAATTCAAATTGACAATAAAAACATTATATCCCAAAGCACAAAGTGGTTGAATTTGAAATTAGTGATTTTGTATTTTTGGAAAGTAAGGCCAATGAAAGGTACAACCAAATTTGGTCAGGAAAACAAGTTCAGTCTAAGGTACATCTGTCTTTTTGAAATTATAGGAAGATCGATCTCATTGCTTATAGTTTAGTGTTACCTACAGCCATGTCTAATATTCATGATGTGTTTCACATTGCACTGCTGAAAAAATGAGTTTCACATGAAGACATTGACGCACTGAGAAATCTAATTAATATTGAAGAGCCTAAAAGTATTTTAGACACTAATGTCAAGAAGTTGAGAGAAACATATAGATTCTTTTTGTTAAAATAAATTGGAAGCACGGGCTTGAAATGGAAGCCACGTATGAAAAAAAAGAAAAAATACTAAAGAAATTTCCCTCTCTATTTGAAATGGAAGCCACGTATGAAAAAAAAGAAAAAAATACTAAAGAAATTTCCCTCTCTATGTAAAGTTATAATTGTGGGTTGTAACATCCAAAATTTGAGAATTAGGTAAAAGTTTGGTAAATTTTAAAATTACCTTAAATTTTGCATCCAATGAAATTTATATGACTTAATTTTACAAAAATTTACTCGTCAAATCAATCAGATTGATTTATAGCACTATAAATTAATTATGAATATAATGAGATATAAAATTTGGAAGTTATAAGTCTAATAATTTAATCAACCTTTGATTATTCCTAATCTCCCGTACATGCACTGTTCCTAACCGAACTCTATTCGCATTTTCAGTCGTAGGATAGATCAGATGGCTCAGATCGATTAAAATTGCATTAAGTGGCGTGCCTCCCTTCATTTTCTCATGATTTCTCCACTGATAATTTCCTCTGCTCGGCTATTGTTCCAGATTGCAAACATAGCAGGCGTGACCCGTCGAGTGTTGCAAGTGGTCGTTCAGGGGTTCAGGAGGAAATCTAAAGGTATGAAACCATCTTTTACACTATTCTAAACATTCATTTCCTTCTTTTTTTCTTGACGTTTGTCACAAATTAGTGCAATTTTTTTTATTTTTGGTGGTTGTAGCAGGTGTCGAACTTGGTTTGCAAACTTCCTTAAGGGTTATTAGCACAATTTCAGCGATGGGAAGAGAAGATTGAGGTGTTAGGAAGAAAATGGGAAAAGAATAGGCGGTATAGGAAGAGCAAATTTATATTGAGAAGCCGGTTTGAGTTATGTTTTGGCAAATAAGTTATGCATTTAGTTAAATCATGATATGAGCCCAAATTCCATGAATTTATATGATGTATATGGTTTTCAGGTTATTTGTACCATGTGGCCAGTTCGAGACGAGCGTGAGAGATCTCATCATAGGGTTTTTTCGTCTAATTAGGTGAAATATTCTCGAATTAACTTAAGAAAAATAATTATCTATAGATTTTCTTGTGATTTCACATTTGATATTGATGCATTTAAATTTTTTTGCATATTGTGGACGGATGCCTGCATTGAATATATGAATAAAAGTCGGCTTCTCTTATAATACATGTGATCCTATGTTATGCTACGATACAAATGAATATGCCTATGAAATCATTACTTGCATATATTTATTTGTTATGATTCATGCATGATATATGAAATGTCTGTGATTAATATGTGATACATGAATGATGATTTAAATGTCACAAGTGATGTTATGGGTAGATTATTACATGAGCGCTTGCAAATACACTATGCAAGGATGTGGTATTCTCGAACATTCGTATGGTTCCATGCTATGTTGGGGGCACAACATTTATCAATAGTTAATATAGTTTTTGGGGCAGGATGAAAACTTGTGATGTGACAGGACATGGAAATGGTTGAGGCATATATATTTACAAGTGCATTGTTATGAACAGGTTTATGAGTCTTATGACTATGTCGATGACTGCGCATGAATGAATGACATACATGTTTTATACAGTAGTCACGATTTTCTACACTACTTGTTTTCCATATATGTTATTCGATTCTAACATAGTATGACTTGTGTGTGCACATATACTCCACATACGAGTTTGCACGTTATCTTTTTTTCATGTATAAAATCTTATTTTAACTTTGATTATTTCGCTGAGCTCATTATTGTTCACTCTACATTGTTTACTTTCAGAAAGGGGTAAAGAGTACCGGGGTAAGTAGCAATGTGTGATTTGTATTAGCTTTTCATTTATACTTTTGGGAGCTTGTATAGTATTTTGGGTTTAAATTTTATTTATGTTAGATTTAGCAATTATGAATGAGATATTTGTTATGATATAATTTTCACACTTTCGAGGACATTTGAATATGAATTGAATTATGAAATAAAATACATCAAATATGTTTGCAGCGATTTAGTTAGACTGGTTTATCACTCATTGATCCTGATTCTATAAGTCAAGATGAGTGTTGGTGAAAATTTTATCTGAACAACTTGTCTGCCTCAGTCGCACCTCAGCCAACTCTTAATAAGGGGCCAATTGGGGCTTGGCACTGAAAAAAACTAAATATTATTGGAGACTTTCACTTTTCCTTTCCCAACAATCCTGGAGTGAGATCTATCCGCAAGTCTCACAAATTTGGGTTGATGATCTCTTAATAGTTGATTAGAGCATGAATTTTCCCGGTCATATGATCAATTGAATCTATTATTCAAGATCGAAATGCTTCATTCTTAGCAAGATACAAGGATATGATACCTTGGTGTATCATCTAGCTTGTAGGCTCATAGAAGAATTAGACGTCTTCATAAATCCTATGCATGTTTAGGGCTAGAAGAATTCTTGGCTGCTACAAGCTATAGGATTCCTAGCTCGTACTTGTTGTAGGAGTGGAGGAACTCCTGGGAAGGCGAAGAGGTTTGCTTGTTTAGGAAGGAGCTGCTGGGTTGCTGACAAAAAGGCAAGAAGGCTAGCTGGTTGCCTGCAACCTGTGGTTGTCTTGGTGGAAGACAGCAGAGACAGGAAGGCTGCAGGGAAGCCTATTGTGAAGCCTGCAGTGAAACCGATAAAGGAATGATAGCCTCCAATTGGACGCTTGTGGGGAGCCAACGGACTAGCAGGATGCTGCATGGAGAAATCTGACAGAGATAGGGAGCAGGAGCCGGAGCAGAACTGGATGGTGGACTGCAGGGATCTTGACACTAGAAGGAACAGGAATTGGGAGAGCCTGCAGGGAGAAATCTTGTGCCAGCTAAAAGGAGAAGCTCTGATGGAGGACCTACAGGAAGATAGGTGTTGCTATTACTGTAGAGGGGTTCTGCCATTTTAAGCCGCAGCCAGAATCGACGTCAAGAACTAAACTACAGGGAGAATTTCGGTGCCAGGATAAGGAGGGGCTCTGAAGGTGGTCTTGTAGATCAGAGGATTCCGACTACAGGGAGTGTTCTGACGACAAAGGAGAACAGAGAAGGCCTGTTAGGCAAGAAGGTGAGGTCGCTGTGAGCTGCATAGGCAAGGAGAAAACTGGCGGAGGTTGGTGGTTGTTGTAGCGGGAGGGAGAGAGCTGATGGAGGAGATTTCCAATTGCAAGGAGCTACTTTAGATTGTGATTAGATCGAGCAGAAGAGATGAATGACAAGTACATTTTTGTCCAACAAAAGTTTCAACTCCAAGGCACTTTAACCTCGCGCGTACACGAGGTGACGATGCAGCAACCCTAGCTATCGTGCGTAAAAGAGGACACGACATCGTGTGTCGAAGATGGAATCGGAGAAATCCTACGGTTTCTTCGTTGTGGTCGCTGGTGAGGAGAAGCGAAGGACGCTTAGGCACTTCTAACTCGAAGCTTTTCGAGAATGAAGCAGATGACAGTGATGGTGTGCTCGAGCTCGAGTGACAGTTTGTAGTCTCTGTTATCATGTAAAAAATAAATTTTGGGAGAAAATTACTTGATAACCCTTCTAATTTACAATTTTACCAAATTTCTCTAATCTAAATTTGGAAAGGAAATAATTATGAAATAAAAATAGAAAGAAAATAACTAATCGAGGGGTTTCCAAGTTTATCTCCATTTAAGTCTCCTAATAGCTATGAGGTGGTCAGCCAGCCCACCTTGCTGATTTTCCACAATAACTTACATCCTTTCGAACATGTTATGTGACCAACAAAATATTCCGATCCAAATTATTGCGACCAGTGGCATGCAAACTCATGAAAAGATAGAAAAGTTTTTCATGCTTGGATGGTATAAAAGGCCACACTTGCGCTGTTCAGAAATAGCAATGCCTCTTCTCCTCTAGGGAGCTGCCGCCTGGAGGTATTATTGCCACTGGACAGCTCCGCAGAGGCCATAATAGATGACAGTGGATATTACATTAGCCAGAGAAGTTATAGGTGTTGTACTAATGATATTTGCCGTTATTGTCCTGTAGAAATCATAATTATGCTTCCATGTACATGTTATTACATTTATAATATGGATTTTTTTGGTTATTTAGTTCCCTTTTGCCATTTAAATGCACAAGGAGTGCAGTATAATTGACTTGAAGATTGCTTGAAAGTCGGATATGTTTTTGGCTCAGATCGAGCTAGCTCAAGATCAAATCTACATGCTTGTATGTATTAATGAATATGGACAGATTTGTTTTATGTAAATTTATTTAATCAATGTATAGACGCATCTATGCATTTATATATACTTCTATGTAAGTATGAGTATTTTGTAAATTGGACTAATAATTTATCTTTGGTGATTGAAATTCGATCATATCAAAACTGTTTTTTTATTGACTCAAACCAAAGTCAACTCATAGTTAGCGAGCAATAACTAAACTTAGCTTGGCTTGAGATCGAATGGAATAACCTTAGCTTGGCTTGTACCTCTGCTTTGGTTGAAAATAATTACGTAACTATCTAATTGTATGCAAATGCTTTTAAAGTTACATTATAACTTTAATTTTTATCCAAGTTTTTTGTTACTGCCTATATGAAACATTCTCTCATGAATGCTTGCAATTACAAACTGAACTGAAGAACTATTTCATTAACTGTAGGATGTGAAAGGCCCTCAAACTGTGGCTTTTAATTTACCAAATGATGAACGTATTGTTAATGAGCGTGGAACATCAATGGTCATGCTCAAGAATATCTCTCAAGCCAAGTTCGTATTTACTTCATGTCCACGTTTCACATTTTGAGCTTCTCAGATGTTCAATTTATAAAACCATTATCACTAATAAAATATGTATTTGTCAGGTTTAAGCATATTCTCCAACCGATTGCCAATATATGTATTAATGCGGAGCAGAAGAAATACATTGATTTTGAGTCTTTCTTTACTCACACAATTTGCCATGAGTGTTGTCATGGTATTGGACCTCATACTATTTACCTTCCAAGTGGCCAACAGTCTACTGTTCGATTGGTATGTCTTGATATTATGATGTTAAGTTTATATGTAGATATACATTACAAATGTCAAATGAATCATCTTGTTGCATAAATGCCAGAATTGTTGCTTAAAATCTCTTTACTATCTGTATACTTTGTTTAGCTTTTCAGTTGTTTTTGTGCGGCCTATAAAGGATGTCCTTTTATTATTATTTGTTAGATGTTTTAACTTGGATTTTTTTCGAAGAAGTATATTTTTTGTGAAGCTGTTCGGAATCTCACACCTGTTTTATATCATCGATTCTGTGAACATGCATGCCATGGCGTTTCTACGTTGATGGCAACTACCTATTAAATTTCCCATAGACTTGATATTTGATCAAGGGGAATTGACAATTATTTACATGCTCACTTTTTCTGGCTGAATCAAAATTCTTATGTGTTGACCTTTATGGATGATGCACAAATTGCCTAATTGAATGTGATGATAAAAATTAGAAGATGGACTTAATTTCATAAGGAATTCCCTAAAATGTCTTGGGATTCATTGCTCATTTGACCATATGGACTATTTCAATGCATTTGAAATACATGACAATCTAGGAAGGTATTGATAATATTTGAGTTATTGGGGGGGGGGGTGATATACATGATGATAATAACACACACATACACATGCATACATACATATACATGCATACCCTCTGAAACACCACTATCAGCACAACCTAGCTGAACCTTCTGGCTTAGAAATATCATAAATGATAGTTAGCTAAATATTCGTATTTTAAGGGTCTGTTTTGGTAGTTTTTTTGCTGCTTCTCTTTTTATACTAATACCATATTTCTATTTGGCCAGTACTTTTTATTATATATATATATA